TCTGCTGTCAGTTGCCCACTGCTCTCCCTCTTCCCCTTGACCTGGGTTTGCCCTTCTGAGGGCGGGCCCTTATGCAACCTGGACAGGGTCGCCTGCCCACAGGGTGGTGGGATAGTCAATGCCCTGGCACCATATCCCCTCCCCCTGACCTGGGAGGCCCCTGTCATGATGGGTTTGGCAGCAAGGTCTGCCAGTGCACATGCCTCTTTGAGCTTGCATTTCAGTAACTCGATCTCCCTCTTCTGGAGATCAACTTCTCTCTCTGTGTCTTTCCGAGAGGTAAAGATGCCCTTGGCATCTCTTCGTGCTTTATTGTACTTGTGCCTCCAATGGGTGCAATTGTCACAGGTGTCATCTGATGCTCTCAAGTTGTCAGACTGTGCCTGTTTGGATGGCCTGGATGAGGAGCCGCTGTTGCTCCCTTGTCTCCCTCCTATGAGGGACTTCATCTCTTTCAACTCCTGATGGTGTTGACCTGTCTGAGCAGCTACCACTGATGTGATGGCTGATTCCCAGCCTACACTGGGGTGTTATTAGACCTGGGCCAAATTGGCTGATCCAGGGGGTGATTTGGCCAGGGAAGTTTGCACCGTGTATGGTTGGAAGCCCCTTTGTGGAGGCTGGGGGTATGCAGTGCCTGTTGGCATTGCAGATGGTTGTTGGTTTGCGGCACTCATTTGTGCTGCATGCATCATATAGTCCATGGTGCTTATCTGCACCTGGTGTTGTTGTATCTTGATGTCCAGTGGCTTGTTTGGATTAAATCGAGGGTTGCCTCCCCCAGAGAACGATATTTTGTTGTTTCGTTTCTTGTGGTGGTGGGAGGGGTTTTGGTTCTTGCATGCGTGGGATTTGCCACAATTGTGTATGATTTTACAGGTGAGCCTGTGGTTCACATGGTCTAGGCAAGTTACTCGCCTAGCCCATGTGATCTCTGGCACATGGTGTGGCTGACTGGGCAAGTTGCTTGCCCAGAATCTTCCCACGCTCTTGGCTGTGGGCAATTGCCCTTCAGCTTCACTTTTTCTGCCTCTGTTTTTGGGGGCGTAGTGATGCCGGGGGTTCCCTGTCTTCTTTGATAGGGAGGTGTTCCGGTTCCCTCACATTTTGTAATGTGAGGTACTTGTCCAGGTGGACGATGTTAGAAACGGGCGGAAACAGACGACTCCGGAGTGGAATCGGAGACTTAGCGTGGAGGGACCTTGGCCTCAGCGACTCAAGCGGAGCGCTGTGCCATTGCTGTTTGTCCATTTGGTCCTTAATTTCACAGTAGGCGAGCAGGAAGTCTCTAGGGGGCATTTCAGGTTGATTTCGGACTGAGCCCCCAAACGAGTATGTACAAGCGCTGATATATATAATGGATGGGGCAAAAGCACAAGGAGACAAAGGGGGATCCGAATCGGAACGAAGACGTTGAAAGAGGGCTCGTGGCTCTCTATGCCGACTGAGCTCGTGGGGGCCAAACTCTCAAAACTCTCTACTTTCTCTCTTGACTTAACTTTGCTACGCTCTCTTATCTCGATCCTTAACTCCGTGGTGAGTTCTCCGGGTTTCCGCAAGGTCCAGGCTCAACAAATCCACTACCCACTTGTTGCAGGCTAGATTGTTGCCCTTATTCCTACTGTTGGAATCCACTCACTCACACCCACTCTAGCGCGTCCTAGCACCTTAGAGAAAATTGGGGGAGGGGAGAACTTCTTTTCAAAATCCGGTATGTACAGGATTATATCTAATAATTATTTTTAGAAAGAATAGATGGGAAATATTGGTACCATATGGCACCTGGATACCTTATTAGGCGAAATAATAAAAAAGGGTAACAGTATCAATAAAAGAATATCAATCAATAACTGAAATGATGGTGAAATATAAAAATAAAAGAAAATAAGCGATTTCTCAGCGGATTTATGGAATTAAGGGCCAAAATTGGAAATAAAGCCGGAGATAACTCTCACGCAGCCAATGAGCATTTTTACCAATTTATTAGACGCCGTGGGAACGAGTGAGGCAGGAATTCTGGGTTGCCGCTTGAGATTCCCATGCCCGCACATACTCGTGACCTGCCATGCCTAACATGCCCAACATAGAACTCTGTCAAACCTCCACCGATTGGGACGTTCTTGGTATCGTCAGAATCGTACGAATTAGGACTATTTTTGGATACCAAATTCGTATCGAGTTGTCGCGTGAATGGAAGTGGTTTCTGAATGTTGGAAGCGGGTATCCGAGCCGGCTCTGCGCGTGGGCGATTATCCTGCCTACAACGTCTGAACGGGAACAAAGGGTAGACAGAGGCGGAGCGGTACCGAAGGTCATAAGGCAGGACCTGTGATACGTCCGAAAGGAGGTAGGGAGGACGAGGCTCAGAGGGGCAGGAGGACGACGAGAAGTGGGGATGATGACTAACTGGCTAGAATGGGAAGAAGCAGCAGTCCAAATAGGGATGAGGGGAAAACGTGAAAGATACATTACAAGCGGCGAAAGTGCCGAAGGCGATCCACGAAGCTCGCAGGTTGCGGAGCTTACGGAGGTTACAGAGGCGGGGTTGAAAGTCCGAGGAATATTGGCAATGGTGTTTATGTAGTATGAGGTCACCAATGCAATGGACTAAGACCGAGGTGGAGTCAAAGTCCGAGGTAGGGACTATGATGGAGGCTTGGAGCAAAGATACGAGCGGTGCCCGAGTACAAAGTATGGGACAGCGGTGGAAGGTCGTAACTTGGCGGGGGGTCGGTGGAAGAGTACCAGAGGGAGGAGAGAGGAGGAAGGTAAGAGAGAAGAAGTGGCAGGAAGGAGAGTAGTCAGGTCCGAAGGTGAGTATCAGAGCGGATGGGGGAAGCGTAGGGGGGTGACGGAAAGGGTGGTGGTGTTGTGAAGGAGGAGTGGAGTAGGAGGAGGAGGAGTAGTAGGAGGGTGGTGAGAGGGGCGGTGTTCGGTCCGAGGTGAGTATTGGAGCGGACGGAGATAGGGGAGGAGAGGGAAGGAGGAGTAGAGGTGGCATGGGGGGTAGAAGGAGGTGTGTTGCCAGGACCGAAGGTGAGTATCGGAATGGGCAGCTGTAGGGTATGACTCCGGAGGTGGGGAAGGAGGAGGTCCTGGAGTCGGGTCGGGATCGGGTATGCACGGATATGACAGACAAGGTCATTGCAATTTCCTTGGGGTTCCCATGTGGTGTCCCCTAGCTCCCATTTGACCTTAAACCAGAGTTTGTCATGAACCCACACATGGTTTAAGATTTTTCAAACTACTGCTTTGCGATTGGGGTCTCCCCTGAAATCGTAAAATATGTTAACTTCCCTATTTGGGAAGAGTTCTTGGTCGTTCAGCTCATGAGGTGTGAGCCAGGATATGTGGAATCTTGGGTGGACTCCACATTGTTCAAGTTATGGTGGCAACTTGAGGATGTAGTTTGACATCTCTGGAAATGTTTCCAGAATTTCATAAGGCCCTATATACAGGGGCTTTAGTTTGCCTGCCCTTCCTTTGGGTAGGTTCAACTTATCCATGGATAAGTATGTGAGCTCACCTTTTGTGTTATGGATACGGAGTCTCCAACGACCATATCTGTCGCATGGTCAAAGACTTCTCCTCTCTATCGTTCCTCCCCTCTTTCTCCCTTCCGTCCTCTATCCCGATACCCTATCCTCACCTGTTCTACCCCTTTCCCCCCCTCGTGCAAAGCTTTCCCCATTGGGGTTTTGGTGCTGGCCGAGGTTACTTGTGTTTCGAACAACCCTCCCTGTGACTCAACTGAACCGTGTGATTGTACAACTCTCAATATGTCTTATAAGTCTGGTTATATCGAGTCCTCTAACAGCCCTTGCCATGAGAACTCGAGGTCGCGAGTTGAAGACTCTCGACATGTGTATCGTCCTATGCAACCTGTACCCTATGGGTCCTCATCACTCCGCTCTCCCCCCAGTACTCGACATACGACGTCACATCACGATCATGGAGATCGTGAATGTCAGAGACCAGATTCGAGACGAAGGAATGTCTCCGTAGCGGAGGGCTTCGGCCTCAGCGACTTCTGCCAAGAGCGCTGTGCCTAGTGACACGTCCGTGCCCTAACTTACTGACTGGCAATTAGAACCTAGGGGGGTAACTCTAGTTGATTTTACTACTGGGGTGTAACCTATGTACAAGTGGGATATATATATGGTTACAGCGGAGACGGGTCCGCAATTGGTGGAGCCGAACGGAGCGGAGCTAACGGGGTTTAGACATTAGCCGACTGAATATTACCGATGAGTCGGTTCGCGGGGTTAATGTATAAGCCCGAAGGTGGGCTCTGCAGGGCAGGCGAGTGTATTGCCCAGCGGAGGCGGGGGTGCGCTAGCGGACGTCGGAGCTGTCCAGAAGTCTTCGGGGCTCCGTACTTAGGGAGGCATAGGTAATAAATTGAAATGAGGGGGTGGTGACCATTGAGGGGTACCAAGAGGATTGCGGAATAATGGGGGCTCCGAGGTTAGTGAGGGAGGAGCGGAGTTGGAACGGAGGGATCGGAGGGACTGGAAGTCGATGGCTGGGGATGGATATGACAGTGAATACTCTGAGGCCCACTTTCCCGTGATGCCGGCACGTTCGCTACGCAAACGCCAAGTTGCCACCCATCCACCGTCTGTTCCCTCCTTCGTCAGTCGTCATGTTTCCCCGCCAATGGTACATTCCCTTTGGGAACGCCAAGTCACCAAAGACCCTATTAGTCAGTCCTCATTGCACGCTTATGATATCAACCCGCTACCGGTATGTTCGCACTGCGAACGCCAAGTACCCGATGGCAACTATACGAAGTTCTCACCCATCTCACAAGTCATGACCTCGCACACAGTACGCTCCATTGAGGAGCGCCAAGTACCCGTGGCTGAGGCATATCCATTTCAATGCGCATCCCAGCATATTCTGCAAATGTGTGGAGACACACCTCCAACCACCTCCCATCAGGACCTATGAATGCCCATCAAAGTACATCCCAAGTGGCTTTTGTGTCTGGAAGCAACATGCAATATGGAAATGGTGACACAGGAGCACAGATTTTCAACCTGCTGATGCCCCAACTGAACAACATGCCATCCTCACCCATTTTAAGCTCCCCCACCATGGTGAGCACCATCACCAATATGACCAACCTTCAATTGACTCCAATGCAGGGGAAGACTCTACTACCACCAGAGAACAAGTGGATGCAGTCCAATGAAGCTGGTGAAACAGTATGTTTTTTTAGATCTTTTCCTTTCATTTTTCTTATATAACACAGGTATGTTTGCTGACATTGGATTTAGGTGTGAGTACGACTTGCAGAAGGGCAAATGTAAGGTACATAACCCATTTCTCTGTGTATATCAGCCAGAGATGAACTAGTTAGATAGCAGAAGGGCTCCTCATGTACATATCTTGAGTTTGTTGGCTAGTGACTTACCTGTGTTGAGTTCCAGCCTTCCTGCTCGATTGTCAGCATTGCCTGACCTGAAGAGCTCACAAAGTGCCAATGTATATTGGGGCCACAATACTTTTTTTTTTTTGCAACACACCACAATGAAAGTGCCCAAGCAAAAACAAACCTGTACAAAGCACAATCAGTCCACCCCATTCAGGCTGACTTCAAAGTGAGGTTGCCATTGAGTCATCTTGACCCCTGCACACGACTTCCATCCCTAATCCCCATTCTCAGACCAGATTGCTGAGCAGCCCATGAAGAACATCTGAAGGGTATCAGCAGCCCCAAAGTACATGAGATTGTGGATGCAGCAGAGAGGGAGGTGGACCTCAGAATATTTAATGTGATGTGTAACACAAGTATGTCTATAATAATTCTTTCCATCCTCCCTTTGCTCATCCCAGCAAAGTACAACTTGATATGGACTAGTGCCACAACACAACGACAAGGCTATGTCACCTGCTAAAAGCCAAACACACCCAAAGGAACTTGTGCTTCCAGACCCTCATCAGGACTCTGATACGGACAGTAGGAAGCTCCTGTTGCAAATGAGCAGGGCACAGCTATTCAGGATTGTCATGGGAGGCTATTGGCCATACATCTCCCCAATGTTTTTGAATGTACGTTCTCACTAAGCCACACTGCTCATCTAATTCTTTTGATAATGGATGACTGTCAGGGCAATAGCCCCGAACCCCGAGTCACATGTAAATTAGATACATATAGTCACGTGGGCAAGCGGGAACCTCCGGAGAACTGCTTACACACCACCGTAAAATACACTATCTTGTATCACTTATGGCCTTGTGTGCTGAGCCACCCTAAGACCTCACAATGACATTGTGGATGCTGGTCATGAATTTAGCCACAATTACAAATTCAGCAAGACCTCATGAAAGGGTTTCAATGATCCAACCTCTGAGCTCTTCAAGAGTGGCCAAGCTTATTATGTTGTACAGTTGAAACCATCATAATCCATACCATTGCGTTCCCAGACTTGAGTATGGGTTATCACAGTATCACACTCTGTGAGATTAGGGCAATCATGTATATACATTGATCAAGCTCCTCTGTGTAACCTTTCTGAAGTATGAATCAAGTGTGCTCAGAGAAATGATTGGTCTTGTGTCCAAACTGAGCAAAAGTGGCTTCCATCTTCTGTGCAAAAGAAGAATTCATCTGTTTGGTGTAAGTCCATAGCAGAATTGCTGCAATAGATATCCCAGAAGCAAGTTTGGCTTTTAACTTTTAATTTACATGTTGATGTTGCCCATACTAGCATGGGTTATGGATTCTGGCATATGACAGGTATGGGTTATGCCGGTTTCAACTGTAGTTTGAGTTGTCTCTTTTCTTTTCAATCTTCACTCTATAGATAGTTGTGTGACTTTGGAGTTGGCTTTATCCTTTCTACTTGTTGTATCAAGGCTAAAGTCTACTCCAGACTGCCCCAGGGCTGCTCACCTGAGTTACTACATATTATGGGTATTGGCATCGCACTGGTCATGTAGTCAGTGTTTTTATTAATTAATTTATCTATTTTTAACTTGACTATGTTTCATAGCAAGCCCCTCCCACCATCACTTTGGATTCAGAGAAGAAGGAACACAATCACCCATTTCAAAAGTGCTGTGAAGTGTGAAGCTCTTTACCACATTGTGAACATGTATACTGAGCAGATTGCTCTGTCACTAACAGCTGTTAGAGACTGGAGCAAGATGAAGGAGTTGTCTCTGTGGCGAAGGGCTTTGGCCTCAGCGACTCAGGCCAGGAGCGCTGTGCCAAGTGACACGTCCGTGCCCTAATTTACTTACTGGCAACAAGAACTAAAAAGGGGGATCAACTCTAGTCGATTTTATCACTGGAGTGTAACCTATCTACAAGTTAAGTATATATAGTTACAGCAAGGCAGTCCCGTGAATGGCAGGACCAAGCAGAGCGGAGCTAACGGAGTTAAACATTAGCTGACTGAATATTACTGACGAGTCAGGTTACGGAGTTAGCAGAATGGCAGGCAATAACCCAGAAACAGAAAGGAGGGATAGGCCCGAAGGTAGACTTGCAGGGCAAGCAAGTCAATTGCCCAGCAGAGGTGGGAGTGTGCTAGTGGACATCAGAGCTGTCCAGAGAGCTTCAGGGCTCTGTACTTAGGGAGGCATAGGTAATATATTGAATTGGAGAGGTGGTGACCATTGGGGGGGTTGGAGGTGATTGCGGAAACCAGAGGCTCTGAGGTTAGTGGCAGAGGAGCGGAGGTAATCCAGAGGAGTGGAGGTGGTCGAGGGTGATGGCCATGGATGGATATGACAACAGCCAAGAGCAAAAGGGTATGGGAGAAGATCAGGAAGGATGGGGATCCAGAGGGTCTTCTGTCAGAATTGAAGACCCATTTATTTGGCCAGGGCATCTGTTTCAATGCTGGCACAAAATTCCACAAGGACTCATGCTCTGCCTGGTGTGGTTTTGATGGGATAGCTGTATTTGGGAAATAAAATGGAGGAGCTGTCACGAAGCTGTTCCTTGGATAGGTCCTGTTAGAACGGGGCTGATACAGACGACTCCGGAGTGGAATCGGAGACTTAGTGTGGAGGGACCTTGGCCTCAGCAACTCAAGCGGAGCGCTGTGCCATTGCTGTTTGTCCATTTGATCCTTAATTTCACAGTAGGTGAGCAGGAAGTCTCTAGGGGGCATTTCAGGTCGATTTCGGACTGAACCAAAACGAGTATGTACAAGTGCCGATATATATAATGGAGGGGGCAAAAGCACAAGGAAACAAAGGGGAACCGAATCGGAACGAAGATGTCCGAACGGGAACAAAGGGAAGAAGGAGCGGAGCGGTACCGAAGGTCATAAGGCAGGACCTGTGATACATCCGAAAGGAGGTAGGGAGGGCAAGGCCCAGAGGGGCAGGAGGATGAGGAGAAGTGGGGGTGATGACTAACTGGCTAGAATGGGAAGAAGCAGTAGTCCAAATAGGGATGAGGGGTAAACGCGAGAGATACATTACAGGCGGCGAAAGTGCTGAAGGCGATCCGCAAAGCTCGGGGGTTGCAGAGCTTACGGAGGTTACGGAGGCGGGGTTGAAAGTCCGAGGGATATTGGCAATGGTGTTTACGTAGTATGAGGTCACCAATGCAATGGACTAAGACTGAGGTAGGGACTATGACGGAGGCTCAGAGCAAAGGTACGAGCGGTGTCCGAGTACGAAGTACGGGACAGCGGTGGAAGGTCGTAACTTGGCGGAAGGGTGGCGGAGGAGTACCAGAGGGAGGAGAGAGGAGAAAGGTAAGGGGGAAGGAGTGGCGGAAAGGAGGGTTGTCAGGTCTGAAGGTGAGTATCGGAGCGGATGGGGGAAGCATAGGAGGATGACAGGAGGGTGGAGGTGTTGTGAAGGGGGAGTGCAGTAGGAGGAGGAGGAGTAGTAGGAGGGTGGCGAGAGGGGCGGTGTTCGGTCCGAGGTGAGTATCGGAGCGGACGGAGATAGGGTCGGAGAGGTAAGGAGGAGTAGAGGTGGCGTGGGGGGGTAGAAGGAGGTGTGTTGCCAGGACTGAAGGTGAGTATCGGAACGGCAGCGGTAGGTTATGACTCTGGAGGTGAAGAGGGTGGAGGTCTGGAAGTCGGGTCGGGGTTGGGTATGCATGGATATGACAGGTCCGATCGCTATCCAGCGACGCTGTTGGGTGGAGCTCGGTGTTCCGGGTCATCTGACGGTGGGTCAGAGACAGACCAGAGGTGGGGCGGAGCTCCAAGGGTGATGGGGTGTTGAAGGGACTTGGCTTCAGTGACTCAGAATGGAGTGCTGCACCCAGTACGTTCTCATTGTCCCCAATTTGTCAGGGGAGCTGGCAACGGAGGAACCAAGGCCGCCAGCAGAAGGGGGCTGGAAGCCCCCCCCTCACTACTTAACGAAGGAGGTGTTAGTGAGGGTCAATCGTTCAACATGCAATTCTTTGGGTTTTATACCAAGGCGTCTCTAGGAGCACCTGTTACTCAGTTCTTTGGAGCAGCAGACAAGTGGGACACGATAGATGTCCTGGAGGAGGTTTTGGAGGGCTCAAGACGTTTATATTATAACTGGGGGAAAACTATTTACTAGAGGGGTATGCGCATACATATAGTGGAAACAATTGGATCATAAACAAAGGTTACCAAGGGGAAGGGGAAGTAAATAGAAAAGAATCCTCAAGACAAATAAGGAATAGGTGAAAAGCCTGAATTACGTCTGAGGTTTGTGGAGTGAGAGAATTCAAAGCCAACTGAATGGCAAGGTCTGGAAACGTCTCTGAACAAGCAGGGAACTACAGAGAAAAGGCATCTGGAAAGGTCTGGAGCCCAGAAGTTGTAGTCCGGAAGATTGAGGTTGTAGAAAATATCAAATGATAAAACAATAAAGATTATCAAGACCGGAGGTAATATAGGAATGGGGAGGTACCGGAAGTGAGGAGGTACCAGAGGTGTGGAGAATGGAGGTAGGAAGGAGGGTGGATAGGCAAGTTGAGATTTATCAACAATGAGACATCTCCTTCAAACAAGGGGTCTGAGGTGGAGGTATGGTGGTGGAGGTCTGGAGGTGATGTGGACGTAGATGGGAGGCAGAGCAGGAGAGAGTCAAAGGAGGAGGTAGTCCTAGGGCCGTTGGCATCGACTGGAGGCAGCAGAGAGAGATTGGGAGGGCTGGTGGAGGTCATAGGAGTCGTGTAGGGATAGGGTGGAGGGAGGTGGAAAGGATCTCCCCCAGAGACACGCAGAGAGGTGCAGCTGCATGTGGGGATGATTGTCAGGGCACAGCCCTCGACCCCACACACCCTCAGACACCCCTTCCCCCCTCCTAACCACCCTTCCCCCATTTTTCCCCATTTTTCCTCCACTGTTCCGCAATAGTACAGGTACGCGAACCCGTGGGAACATTCTGGGTGAGCAGCTTACCAAGAATCTTCCCACGGTACCTAATATGGAAACTCGGGAAAGACCCAACAACTGCACAGTTCTCAGGCTCCTTTTGTAGCGGCCTCACAGGGGGTTGAGAAGGTTACCCTTCTTCTCAACTCATTCCCTGTGAAGGCAAGTGTAATTACCAACTTCCTAATGCGCACCAACTCATTCCCTGTGAAGCCCAGGGCAAGTCCCCTCAGCGACTTTGAGGAATTAGTGGCTGGAGAAGACTCTCCAGTGCCACTCCCAGGCCTCATTGCTACGTCCCCTCTGGATGAGGGACGGACCCTGACAATGATGTGGCTCCCTCCATGTGACCTTAACCACATGTATATAATAGCGCCTGGGGTGGGAACAGAAGAAGCACCCTTCTTCTCAATTTCCCACTTCAGACCAAGTAGTTGGGGACACTCACCCTGTGATGGGACTGCTGCTACACATAGCCAATACTCGTCCCATTGGGTCCCCCACACTGGGACTTCACCACTTTCGGAGCTGTCCCTGACTGTCATCACATGTTGTTCCATGGCAAGCATATGGGTCATCAAGCATTGTTCCATAGCACTGGCCTCCTTGCTCCTTGAGAAGGTTCTGGTGTCTTGAGGGATCTGATCCATTGGCATCATTGTTGATAGTATCTGTGGCTGAGGAACCTCCCAATAGTTGGTGGGTTGCTGTGTTGGGGTTGAGTACCTGCTTCAGTTCTGCCACATGACCCTGCAACAGGAGCTGAAGGACCTTATCATTCCATAATCTGCCAGTGGCTTGAAATAGTGCCATGACATGGATACCATAGCTTCTGAGCTCACAGTTCCAAAAGCCATATATCCATTCAGATGTGGCAGTGAGCTGCCCAGCTTGTGCATCCATGCCAATGGTTGCCTCTCCCTCCTCCAGATCAATGATACCAACCACCAACTGCCTGCTGACAGCAGCTGTCATATGTCTGTAGGTGGACACATCAAGGGCCACTTTGAGGTGGTGCATTGTTGTATCCTCCAGGGCCACACTGAGAAGAGGGGTGGTGGCCATAGGTCCCTTGGGACCATAGAACAGATGGGAATGGAGGCATTTTCATGCATCCTCCCTCCAAAGGAGGATAGCAAATTCCTCTTCTACTATTCTAATGAATATTAGGTACCAGAGTAAGAGGTCTGACAGACCTGCATGCAAGAAGTGTGTGATGAGCTTGCACTGTTTTGTCTGGGAATTTGTCTATTGGGTTTGGATTAGCTGAACCAGTCAAGAAATAAAGTAGGGGGAGAAGCTCACTTTATTATAGCCAATAATGGTGGCCAGTCCCCCTGGAAATGCAAACAAACTCCTCTGGCTATTTTGAAGATTTCTAAACAGGACACTCAAAATTTCCATTCCCCTTGCTGGTTGTCCACCACCTACATGGATAGCAACCAAGAACAATTTGTTGAGGGCCAAAGCATCCTCCATCCACCTACTTACCATCAATTGGTTCCACTCCAAGTTGCCCCCTGGCCTGGCAATGAGCCATTCAGGTCCTCTCAATGAAAACAAGACATGAGTTCTAATTCAGTCAATGTGTAGGTTGTCAGACCCTAGGAAGCTGTAATGTGGGGTGTATCCCATCTAGCCTCTTCTTTCTGAGAGAGATCAGTGAAGAAGCTTTCCATCTGAGCACTTTGGCCACAGAAAAGCCCTTATCCACTGCCCATGATGGTGCCTTCATGCTGGAATAATGACGTGTACCAAGGTTGGAACAATATGAAGCTTGGCATTTGGATGGAATTTACTGTGGCTATGTCTAATGGAATCCTCCTTGAGATCTGCAAATGTGCAGCCAGGGGATGCACATCAGATCAGGATGCACTGGAGAGGGGCAACCTTGGACTGTGAATGGACAACCCAGTGGCCAACCTCTAAGGCTTCCAGGATGTCATCATGGTTGGGAGGCAGCTTACTCTTACTAAGACCCCCATGGATGGTTTGTACATGTTCTTCCACATACTTGCAATGAATGCCAATTTGACACCCTTGGCAAATCTCTGGGGGAATTATGAGGCTGACTGAATGCAGAATAACACCAGTGCTGTCATGGGGATTGACAGCTGCACTCAGGGAGGGCAGCTCACTTGGGATATATGTGCTTGGGAAGGATGGCAAGCTAGAGGATAGGAAGGGGAGATGCCCTTGAAGAGGATCTGAGCTCCATCACCTTTGTTGCCTTGGCTCATATATGGGGGTGTTTACATGCCACTTGGGTGCATGGAGTGGGAAGGTTGCAGTCCAATTGGGGACAATGGAATTCATTAGTTTCTTGTTGGCATTGCACTCACCTTTCTTGCCAACAAGCAGAGGCATGTTTAAGCTACTCTACCCAACAGAATCAGTGATGGCTGGAGATGAGGAAGGGCACATGCAAGGTTTGCAAATGAGATGAGCAAGATCTGTTGTGGAATTCAGAGCCTTAGAAAGCAAATAAGTGGTGGAATCTGCTTCCACTCTTTACTTAAGTAACATCATCCAAACAACACTGACAACACAATATCGACAATACAAATGATGAAGAACCCAAACAATACAAGCAGTACTGACAATACCAAATGATACAAACAATACAACCAATACTGACAATATAAACTGTAGAATGTGTGAATAACACAAACAATACAAACAATACAGTAAAAAATGAGCAGTCATGCTTGTTAGGCAGAGGTTGTATTGTCAGTAGTGTTGGTGTGATCATTGTGTCTCCCACACATGATTTTGTCCCTTCATCCAGCAATGTTGTAGTGGAGTTGACAGAATTTATTTGTTCATTTGATCCACTTTTGTAGCATTATTAGAAAGTGGCTGGAGGCCTGCCTACATCTTTTCCACTTTCTCAGCACTCATGCCTTGGCATTGCCACCTTCCAGACTGGCAAATCCCAACTTCACTGCAGCAGGGTGGAACTTACATGTGCACTTCAGGCTACCTTGGCACCTCAGTTTCTTCTTGCTCTCACATCACACCACTGTTTTCCCAGCCTTTCTTTTGTCCACCCACCTCCTCCCCAGTTTTCCTCCCTGTGTTATGTTGTTTCATTGTGTTACAGATATAGAGTCTCCAACGACCATATCCATCACTCAGTCAATGATCCCCTTCTCCCTCTCTCTCCCTCCTGCTACCCTTCATGTTCAACCCCTTCCCCCTCATGCAAAGCTTTCCCCATCAGGGTTTTGGTGCTGGATGAGGTTGTTTATATTTTGCGGGATTTCCCATGACCATTTTACTTTGTAGGTAGTCACACATTATGTACAGAAACTGCTGGAGGCGGTTCCCACTAACTACCACAAACTACTACAAACCACCTTGTGTGCTGTCCCTGTAACAACCTCCCTTCTGTGACTCAACTGAACCTGTGTGTACAAATCTCAACATGTCCTATATGTCTGGCTATGCCAAGTTTTCTGGTGGCTCTTGCCAGGAAACTCAAGGTCATGAGTTGAAGCCTCACAACCTGTGTATCATTCACTGGGACCCATGCCCTACAGGATGCCACCACCTTGTTCCCCCTCTAATGCTCAACGGACATCATCATACTATGTTACTTGGGTCCATAACTGTTACGGGGATGGGGGGAAATCCCCATTCCTCGATCCGTTCTTATAGCGGGATGACGAACATCGTATCTAGTCTGTACCATAACAGGATAAGTAATCGATGAGTGATCCCAGTCTTGCATGGGAGTGGACAATCGAATTCCCATCAATCATGATTGGTGATGTAGTGAGCTATTAAGGAATTGATGGTAGGTAGTCGGAGATGTCAGGATGGACGGGTCAGCCATGGGTACTTGGCGCTCCTCAATGGAGCGTACCATGTGCAAGGTCGCAACTCGTGAGGTGGGTGAGAACTTCGTATAACTGCCATCGGGTACTTGGCATTCACAGCATGAACGTACTGGTAGCAGGTTGATATCATGAGCGTGCAATGAGGATTGACTAATGGGGCCTTCAGTGACTTGGCGTTCCCAAAGGGAACGTACCGTTGGCGGGGGAATATGATGACTGACAAAGGAGGGAACAGACGGTGGATGGGCGGCTACTTGGCATTTGCATAGCGAACGTGCCGGCATCATGGGAAAGTGGACCTCAGAGTATCACAATCTCCAAGATTGTGATGTGACGTCATCTGTTGAGCACTGGGGGGAGAGCGGAGTGATGAAGTCCCATAGGGTACAGATTCCATAGGATGATACACATGTCGAGAGTCTTCGACTCGTGACCTCGAGTTCTCACAGCAAGGACTGTTAGAGGACTTGACATAACCTTATAAGACATGTTGTGAGTTGTACAGTCACACAGGTTCAGTTGAGTCACAGGAAGGGTTGTTACAGAAGACGACACACAAGACAGTTGTAGAGAGTAGTTGTTAGTTAGCAGGAACCACCTTCGGCGGTTTCCATACAAGACGCGTGACTATCTACAAATGGTAAGGTCGCAGGAAATCCCGTGAAACACAAGTAACCTCGGCCAGCACCAAAACCTCAATGGGGAAAGCTTTGCACGAGGGGGGGGGAAAGGGGTAGAACGAGTAAGGAGGGTAGGGTATCGGGATAGAGGACGAAAGGGAGAAAGAGGGGGAGCGATAGAGAGGAGAAGTCTTTGACTATGCGACGGATATGGTCGTTGGAGACTCCGTATCCATAACAATAACTACTCTGAAGCTCCATTTTTGTGATGCTGGCATGCTTGTTGCATGAGTGCCAAGTAGCTGCCCATCAATCATCTAGTCTCTCCTATGTTAGTCATCACACCCCTCTGCAATCAGTACATTCCCTTTGGGAACACCAAGTCACTGAAAGCCCTGTTCAACATTCCTTCCCTGATACACATAACGATAACCCGCTACCATCATGTTCATACTACAAATGCCAAGTAACTGTTAGCAACAATACAGAAACCCTGTCAGGGCCTGGCCTCGGACTCGGAGGCTCCCTGACCTCAACCCCCATCTGGCCTGTCCTCACACTATGCGGGGCATGAGATGTATAGTAAAAGAGAGGGAATATATACACTTGCCTATGCGGGGCATGAGATGAGAAGAAGGGTAAAGGTCTCATCTCCCCGCATGGTTGCTATATAAAGGAATGGGTCACATGCCCACAACTATACAGCTCCTAGAGTTGTGTAGTGTGACCCGGAGGGAACATCCAGGTGGCAGTGCCCAGTAAGCGTGGGAATGTTCTGGGCGAGTTGCTCGCCCAGAACTGTGGCTGTGACCCGTGGGAACATTCTGGGCGAGCTGCTCGCTCAGAAAGTTCCCACGCTATCCCGTGCGCGCGCGTGTACACAACACACAAAGGCAACAACAAGGCAACAGTCAAAGAATAAAAGGGGGTAAAGTAGGTGGGGAGTCCGGGGCACCCTAAGGCAGGGTGCTGAACCCTGACAAACCCCTCATGTTGAACAAGTTGCATCCATGCACACAGTACGCTCCACTGAGGAGCACCAAGTACCCATGGCTAGCCTATCAACCCTGGTGTCTCTGACCACAAGTCATTGAACCCTTAATAGCTCACTCAATCATGGACCATGATCAATGAGGATTCAATCATCCATTCTCTTACCTGACTTGGACCACCCATCAATTACTCATTCCATTAATGTACAAACAAGATCTTACAACAATCTTTCAACTATAAGAATGGGTTGGGAGGGGAGAATTTCTCCCCATCCTCGTAACACATTGTCTTGTTCTTTTCATTGTATTACCCTCTGAGCCCACCTCCCTCAGTAGCCTCCTGGCTCTCTGTTTTGTTTCTTTCTACAAATCCAGAATACTCATCCAAAACATTGTAGATCACTTTGAAATCACCAGACTTCAGCAATGGTCCACATCACTTTAAGATACAAATAGTAAACATCCAAATGGAGAATAAAACAAAATGGAAGGTGACACAGTAATATGCCATTAAGGTGCCCATGAAAACCCCTTCCTCTGATTTGAGGCCTCACAAACAGAATTGTATGCAGGGAACTTTAATAACAATTACAGAAACTTCTACTCCAGCC